CTTAGCCTCTTCTGCTTGAGTGCCCAAGCCTTCAGGAAGTCCTCCCCTTTGGGTTTAGACTGCCCCCATTTCAGAGCTCAAACAGCTTCAGGATCTGTGTCATGATAACGATGGACACATAATAACATGGTTAGAACTGGACAAATTCACTAGGAAGGGGAATTGGGGTCAGTGTGGTGTACAGGTGCGTGCAGAAGCCAAAGAGCATTCGTGCAACCGTGGCTTTTAAAACTATACACCAATAACAGTGGAGATGAAGAAGGGAAGGGAAAGAGAGGGCTAGGGAGAGGAGTATATGTAAGTGATTAATGATGATAAAACTACTAGCAAAATCAGACAGAAGAACTATGAGAGCGCAGCTCTACATCCCTAGCCCCTAAAACCCCAGCTAGGGCCTATGCTCATCTTTGACCTCTTAACTTGAGTGTCACGCTAACATTTACCGATTGCCATGCACCATCTAGTGGCGAAAAAGGGATAATCTCGGGTTAGTGAGGTTGATGCCTTTCATCCAGACTTCCAGGAAACTTTCCAGTCCAAGAAGCATTTGTTAAGGACTTATTATGTGCTGGGTACTGCTAGATGTTGGATTCCAATGACAAAATAAAAAAATACTGTCTGCTGTCCATTAGAATGTAAGGCACTTAAGGACAGGGACCGTTTAGTTTTTATCTTTAGAATCCCAGCATCTAGCATCATGTCTGAATTTATCACAAGCATTTATTAATGTGCCAGGCATTGGGGATGCAAAGGCGAAAATAAATAAATAATCCCTACTCTCAGGAAAATTAATTCTAACAGGGAAATGTGTGCCTACGTCGATAAATATATCATAAATTATAAAAAGAATAAATACAATGCAAAGGATTTACTAGCAGCTGGGGATCAGGAAAGTCTTCCTGTAGAAGGGGATGATTGAGTAGCTGAGTCTTGAAGGAGGTAAAGAGGGAGTGCGTTCCAGGCACAGAGGCAAAAACATGAAGGCTGGAGGTGAAGGTCCCTGTATGAGGAACAGAGAAAAGGCTCTGGATGGAAGAATGCAATAAAGAGAGTGATGTTGAAGGAGGCTGGAAAGATGGGATGGGGTCAGGTTGTGAAGGGCTTTAAAAGGTAGACAGGGCTTAGTTTCTTCACCTGTCAAATGAGAAGTTTGGATTTAATGACCTCTACGGTCCTTTTCAGATCTAAATCTATAACTCTGAGTTTATTTTTGGAACAATAGGGAGCTACTGATGTTCACTGAGTGGGAGAGTAACACAGTCAGAGCTGTGCATATGGAGAATCACTTTGGCAGCTATGTGGAGGATGGCCTGGAGAAGGAAGAGATTTGAGTCAGGGAGATCGGTTAGGAGGCCACTGGAATCGTCCAGCCAGGAAGGACATGATGAGGACCTAAACTAAGCTGGGGGCTGTGTGAGTGGAGAGAAGGGGTCAGATGTCAGAAATGTAGTGGGACAACACAGCCAATGTGGAAATGCTCTACGTGACTTCCTATTTATAACGAGCAGTGTATTTCTTGCCTTCTCAATGTGGGGGATAGAATTCAGAACTGAAAATACAATTCTAAAAAAAAATTTAAAGTCAATTTCAATTGCTAAAAGAAATGTAGCGGTGGAAATGACAAGAGTTGGCAACTATTTGGATATGCAATGTTTAATAAATGCTTGGTGATCAAAAAAGATAATAATTGTAAAGTGTTCAGCACAATACCTGGAACATAGTAAGTGACATATATAAGTTATTATTATTAAACTGTATATGTCCTTTGTTTTTTGTTTTTGTTTTTTGCTTTTAGGCAATTAGGATTAAGTGACTTGACCAGGTTCACACAGCTAGTGTGTATGTTCTTTGATATCACTACTTGGCCCCCAAAGAGATGAATGAAAGAGGAAAAGGTCCATTCCTCTACAAAAATACTTATTTATATTATTTTAATAATGTATTTAATTATGTGTTATCATGTATCATATATTACAATTAATCATTAATGTTTAATAATAATAGATTTGTATTTGTATTATTTATAGCAGCTGTTTGTGGTGGCAAAGAACTGGAAACCAAGGAAATGTCCATCAATTGGGGAATGATGAAACTAGTTATGTCATACAAATGTGACAGAACACTTGTGCTGTAAGAAAGGAAGAAGTTTCAGAGAGAGACCTGCAAAGACTTGTATCAATGGATGCAGCGTGAAATTAGCAGCATCAAGAGTCATTTATTCGTCAACAGCAGTGCTGCAGAAACAAATGAGTTGGAGAGAATTAAGAACTTTGATCCACATTAGGGAAGGAGCCAGGAGATAGGGAGAGACTGATGATTAAAGAGACAAGAAAATCAAAGGGGCAGCCTTCCAGGCAAGAGACCAAGATGGCAGATTCAAGGGCAAACTCTCTTCTATAACTTAACTCTAATTAGTTAGGTCTACACAGACTGATCACAAACCCACTTTCATTTCAGTAGATGCTGTAGAAAAAAAAAAAGGATTCATTCCCCTGATCCATCTAGTGATCATCCTGTCCAAATTAACCTAGATTGGTCTTTGGTACGTTCTGACATCGAGCCTGTTTGCATGTAACTCAAAACTGGGGGGCAGCTAGGTGGCACAGTGGATAGAACACCAGCCCTGGAATCAGGAGGACCTGAGTTCAAATCCAACCTCAGATGCTTACTAGCTGTGTGACCCTGGAAAAGTCACTTAACCCCAATTGCTTTGCAAAAAAAAAAAAAAGAAAAAAAGAAAAAAAAGAAATCAAAACTGGGCATTAGCCACACAGTCCAACGCTAGGTTTTTGGCTTGACAGAGTGGTCCAGAACTTGTGCTCACCCTCATTGCCTTCAAGCTTCCAGGGTTACCCCTCCAGCACCATGAGGCATTGGATATTAGGACTTGAGCAGAGGCCTAGGAAACTCATCCAGGAAAGGCAGTCCTAAAAGCCCCAAATCCTGCTTCCTAAAAGAAGCAGCAAAATAATGTGTATCCTTAGAGATTCTCTAGCTGGATTACATTTATTTACAGACATCACAACGAATGCAACTTGGCTGGAAAGACTCTGGCTTGTTAGCTGGAAGCAGTTAACAATTATTTTACCATTCTTGGGGGAGTTGAAACTGATGCTAAAATTAAGATTTAAAAGTCACACAAGAGTTCTAGGAAAGGGTGTTCAATGACCCTGGATGTTTAACATCGAGGCAGAAAGCAGGGAGACATGTGCTTGCCACACAATGGCAGGTCCTCAGCCTCGGACATTCAGGATACAGCCCGGGTCACATTCCCTAGAGATGGTGAGGTCCTCCAGGGGTTCCTGTTGGTGATACTGAGCTGACTGCATCAATTATAACAACAACGGCATTTACATAATGCTTTAAGGTTTACAGAACCTTACATATATTATATATGTATTACATAATATTATATGTATTATACATCTCCTTTGTTTCTCACAATAACCCTGCAAGGTAGGTGACATTGTTTCCACTTTAGAGATGAGGAAACTGAGGCTGAGAGAAGCTAAATGACTTGCCCTGGGTCACACAGCTAGTAAATGTGTGAGGATTTGAACTCAAGTCCAGCTGTCTAAACACTCTTCCTCCTATCTGCTCTAACATGGCTGAGCCTCCTAAACCAGGTCTGCTCCAGAGCTGAGTCTAACCACCCACAGATTAAAACAAGTGGATGAAGGAAGGACCCCGTCATCCAGGCAACCCCAAAGGCCGGTCTGTCAGTTCCTCTGCCTATGACAGTCCCTGCAGATGGACAGTAAACAGGGCCCAGCATCACAGAACGGGATGGATTGCATTCAGAAAAGCATCCAGGGCTTTGAAATGACCCTCAAGCTTCAACTTCAAACTAAAATCCAGCTTTTAACATCTTCCAGTGAAGAATACTGTATTACGTATGGCTAAAACACATGGAACATCAGTCTCTGAGGAATTGGGAGGGTCACCCAGGGGGCAACAAGGTCATGAGAGATGCCAGCAGGCTTCAGCCTATTGCCAGCAAAGACCCGTGCAGAGATGGTGTGAGGGCAAGGTGAGCTGGACGTGGATCAAGACCAAGGCAGGGACAGGTGGGGACACTATCCCCTTCAAGATACCCAGAGAAGGCCCCTAGCATGGCTGGTGGACCTCACTGCACAGTACGAGGTATAGATGGGTTGCTATCTGCACCACTGGAAAGAATGCTCACACTAAGTGCACAGACCTATTGGAATCTTTGGTGTATGAGTGACAGACAGTACAGTGATCCCCTCATGTAACTGAGGCACAATATTTACACCCATTTTACTGACTTGACTAAATGAGACGCTTTATCTGCTTTTCTAGCACCTTTAGTTAAAATGTTACTAACTTTAATCCAACATTGCTCCCAAATCTGCTTCCTAAGCTTCCCTTATGGCACTCCTCAGCATGGGTAACCTGTACCCTGTGTACAAAGGCAGAAAATGCTGGTGCAGGAAGCTGAACTTCCTTCTTTTACACAGTAAGTTGTAGACTTCCTCCCACAATTAAAACAAATTGACCAATGTGTGCAAAGCGCAAGCTTTCCAGACACTAAATAAAGGCGGGGTGAGGGACTGCCTGGAAATGAACTGGACCCCAAGAGCCAGTCTCATCTTTGCCTACCCATGGCAAAGCACAGGGTCCCCCTAAGGAGAAGAAATACAGCTCCTGATGATGAACCCTCCATAACCCCACTCACTAGTCTCCAGAGTGAAGAAAACTCTGCCCACTATTAGCTTAACGGGCCCGAGAAATGCTGCTCTGTAGAAGCGCTTGGAGATCCTGTCTGTGTTCAAGGCCAGGGAATGAGAACGGGGGCCGGGCTGGAGGAGATGGGGTAATCTTTCTCCTCTGCTTCCCTCACTAGCCTGCTGTGGACATTCATGGACACTCAACACTTGCTCAATCCCAACACAGTTTATTTTAACATGATTCAGGTCCCCCAGAGCAGGGTAGTCACAGATCACATTTCCCCGCTCTGAAGGAAGAAGGGATCCAGCCCCAGGCATCGGGGTGGGGTAAGGGAGGAAGAGGAGGCAGCTCAGATCTTCCCAGGGAAAGTGTCTTCCACTCTGCGTTCATCCCAAGTACTCACCTACAGATGACAGAAAAATACCAACATGATTTAGGCTGACTTTCTCCCTCTTCCACAGACCTCAAACTATTTATTACATGCGACCCATACTCCTTTATTGCAGCACTCCCACCCCAAAGGTTATTCCTTCCATCTTACAGGAAAGGGAAAGATCCAGGGGAGGGAGGGGTGGGGATTTTCTCAGGGTCACAGAGCATTGAGGCTAGTACCCAGGCCCCCTGGCTATAGGACACAATTATGTCCTTGCAAGCTGGAGGGACATCTTCACATCCCTGGTTAGGAGAGTCACTAAAGGCAGGCAGGCATAAATGGAAGGATAAACCCAGTATGGTGCCCCTACCCCCCAAGGCCACATACCCAGGACAGAGGACACAGGGACTTGTAGACATGTTTGTACCACTGGCAGACAGACACATCACCACCTTTCTTGTTCATGGCCTTCTCACAACGGTAAAAATCTAGGAGGTAAAGTAAGAGGGGCTTAGTAGCTGACCTGGAGGGGACAGAGAACCCCCTAGAGTCCAGGAGAATGAAGCTGAATCGTAGGCTCTGAGATCCCAAGAGGGGACCAGATACCTGGGAATTAGTTCAATTTAACAAGTATGTATTGTCTACTCTGCGCCAGGCACTGGGCTAAGGACACAAAGTTTCTTCCCTCCATAAGCTGACACTGAATGGAACTGGAGAAGTAGCTGAGGAGTCGGGGAGGATATTAGCCTTTTCTGTATCATGCAGAATCTTGTGGATCCCTTCTCAAAATAATGTTTTAGATGCACAGAAGTAAAATGCATTGGATTATAAAGAAAACTAATTATAGTGAAACACAGTTTGTATTGCACTGTTTGCATTTGTATTAAATTTGCTGTATAGTTGGGGAAAAAAAGAAAGAAAGAGAGAAACTCCCAAGTTCATTACTCATGCTGGGTGAACTGGGGGCACGTGCCGGGCAGGACTTGGGAAGGAGGCGTACCCAGGTAGTTCTGCCAGCAGTTACGGGTCTGGTTCTGGTTGGGGAAGCGGCTGTCAAAGGGCGCCGTGCGGTAGTTTTGGATCTTGGTTTTGATGTCTTCAGACATGGCGGCTCCTGGAGTGGAGAGACAGCAGAGGGTCAATCACGGGCCGCCAAGCCTAAGAGAACGCCTCTCTCCCACCCCACTAGTGTCTATCCCAGTGGGCCAAGAGGCAGCAGGGAGAAAATGTGAATCCTGGGCCAAGTTCCACTCTGTGCTATGGGTAGGATATACCAGGCTGGGGATGGGTGGGCTGCTGTGCAATATACCCAGGCACAGAATGGTGGGGGGATAAGGGAATCTGGGAGACTGGGGGTGGGAGGCAGGGTCCTGATGTGTGGAGAAGGCGGGGCACACAGTATATAAATAAGAGGAGATGTTGGGCTATGCAGCAATATGAATGAAGGGAGGCACTTACATAGGCAGGTGTAGAGAGGGGGGTGTTCTATATGTATAAGTTACATAGGTGGGATGCATGGCATATCCAGTGGTAAATGGGCAGAAACAGAGGCTAGATGTGCTGAGGCATATCTGGCCGGGGGGTCTGTGAGGAGGGGACGGGCAGCATACAGGTGAGTGTAAAAGGTGGGGTGTATGATATATGGGAGTACTAAGGTTGTGGTATATGAGGGGGCGTAGTACACAGACAAGCAAAAAAGCAGGGATAAGATACATATGGGGGTGCACAGTATACAGGCCAGTGTAGAAGGTGGGGTGCTGTATATCTGTTATCTTTATCTATACGAGATATATATGGCAGTGCAGTATTCAGGGGAGTGTAGAGAGTGGAATGTGGAGTATACATGGGGGACATGCACCAGACAGATGAGAAGGAGGGGCACAGGTATCTATTACCGTACGCAGCAGAAAGGTGAGTATAAAAGGGGTGATGTGCACTGTCTATGGAGGTACAGAAACAGATGGGAATATGTATAGGTGTGTAGCAGTGGGGTACATGGCATATTTAGGGGATGCGCAGTATATAGGCAAGTGTAAAAGACTGGGTATGAGGTATATATAGGGTGGCAAGGACTGACTGCGATATATGGGAGGGGCTGCGCAGCATACAGCCGAATGCAGAGTGGGATGAGGGGTGCCTACAGGGGTGCACAGCACCGAGGCCGGTGCAGAGGGCGGGGTGTGGGGTGTCTATGGGGGTGCACAGCATCGAGGCCGGGGTGTCTGCGGGGGTGCACGGCACCGAGGCCACTGCCGAGGGCGGGCTGCGGGGCATATCTTGGGGCGGGGGGACTCCGGCACATCCAAAGATGGGGAGGGTCACCTGAGGTCGCTTCCGCCGCGGTCGCTGTCTCTGTCCCCGCTGCTCCTCCCGCAGACCCCGCAGACTCAATGTGACCCTCAAGCACTAAGGGTCCGAAGCAGGAAGCGGAAGCGCAGGCCCCAGACGCAGGGCGGGTAGGGAGGAGGCGAGGCGAAGACTTCCGGCGAGGCTAGAGCGGCCACGGGGGGGGGGGGCGAGGTGCGGTGGGGGGAGGGGGAGAGCGCTGCGCGCCTCCATTGGGCCAGAGGACCCGCCCGTCATGTCCCAGCGAGCCAATCCGCATCAAGAGCGCCGGGAGCCCTCTTCTGTCCCCTCCCCTTCGCTCGTTCTGCTCCGGCCCTAGTCCAAGAGCTTGAATTTTCTTTTCTTTTAGAAATAAATCTGTTACTTATTTTTAACATTCATTGAAAAAATATTTTTGGTTCCAAAATCTGTCAGTCAACAGATAGAGCGCCTGACCCAGAGTCAGGAAATCTGAATTCAGATATGGCCTCAGGCACTTACTAGCTGTGTGACCTTGGGCTAGTCATTTAATCCTGTTTGCCTCAGTTTCCTCATCTGTCAAGTGAACTGGAGGAGGAAATGGCAAACCACTCCAGTATCTCTGCCAAGAAAACCCCACATGGGATCACAAAGAGTCGGACTTGACTGAAAGCCAATCAAATAAACAAAGTGAAAAAGTGTGTTTCAATCTACACTGATTATCAGTCATCTCTTTGGAGGTGGATGTGATGGGGTTGGGATCTGGGCCCCAGAAAGGAAAAACCCCGGGCTTTCCCATGTGTCCAAATCTCTGGCATTGACCTGAGGCTATAATCCCATCAACTGGCCTTTCATTGTGGCTACATCCAATCTCCTCTGCACTGTCTTACCTCCCTATGGACCCTGGCCATTTCCCACACTTAATCCTAGCTAGGCTCCATTGTCCAGGTCCCAGGAGTTCTGTTCACACCAGTTTACTGGCCACTCCTATCCAGATCTCCTTAGGCCCCTCCTCCCATCACCCCAAACTACTTGGCAACTCCCACAGTCTTTCTGTATATAAGGTCCATCTCATCTCCATTAAAATGCTGGAATTCTTATAATCTAGCCAATAAGCCAATAGCTCACTAATGTTCAGACTCCTTAAGAGTCTGCCCAATATGACGGATGTTCTAATAAACTTTGTCTTTGGCTAAAAAAAGACTTGGGTCGACTTCTTTGGAACAGGACCTGTGTGTTGTGATTTTGGGGTCCCAGTACCCCTGAACCCCTAAACCACATCAGATGGATAAATCCTTTGGAACTGTAATGGGTCTTTGTCTTGATCAGAGTAGCAAAGTTTTTCCACAGTTGATCATTGTTACAATGTTACTATATATTGTACAATGCTCACTGGGTTCTGCTCACTTTATTTTGCATCAATTCATGTAAGTTCCCAGGTTTTTCTGAAATCATCCTGCTTGGCATTTCTTATAGCACGCAGTATTCAATTACAATTATTTACCTCAGCTTGTTCTGCCATTCCCCACAACTGATGGGCATCTCCTCAATTTCTGATTCTTTGCCACCACAAAAAGGGATGCCAAAAATATTTTTGTATAAATATGTCATTTTTTAAAAAATCTTTTTTGGGATACAGACCTACTGGTAGTGTTGCTGGGTCAAAGATTATGCAGTTTTATAGCCCTTTGGGCATGGTTCCAATTGTTCTCCAGAATGATTGGACCCAGTTCACAACTCTACCAACAATGCATTAGTACCTCTATTCTTCCATATCTCCTCTGGCACTTGTCATTTTCCTTTTCCATCATGTTAGCCAATCTGATAAATGTGAGGTTGTATCTCTGAGTTGTTTTAATTTGCATTTCTCTAATGAATAATTATTTAGAGCATTTTTTTGTGTATTGATACTTTGATTTTTTTTCCCTGAAAACTGCCTGTTCATACTCTGACCATTTATCAATTGGGGAATGGTTCTTATTTTACTCAGTTCCCTATATATTTGAGAAAAGAGGCCTTTATCAGAAAAACGTACTGTAAAAATTCATGTCCCCCACCCCCCATTTATTGCTTTCTTTCTAATATTGGCTGCATTGGTTTTGTTTGTGCAAAATCTTTTACGTTAGTGTAATCAAAATTATCCATTTTACTTCCTGTGACACTCTTTATCTCTTTTTTGGTCATAAACTCTTCCTTTATCTATAGATATGACAGGTAAATCATTCCATGCTCCCCTAATTAGCTTATGATAGTCCCCTCTCTGTCTAAATCATGTGCCCATTTTGATCTTATCTTGGTATATGGTGTGAGATGTTGGTCTATACCTACTTTCTGCCAACTGCTTTCCAGTTTTCCCAGCAATTTTTGTCAAATAGTAAGTTCTTGCCCCCAATCTTGGATCTTTGGATTTATCAAACACTATATTACTATGAATTACTACTGTGTATCATGTACCTAACCTATTCCACTGACCCACCACTCTATTTCTTAGCCAGTACCAGGTGGCTTTTGATGATTACTGCTTTGTAATACAGTTTAAAATCTGGTGCTGCTAGGTTGCTCTTTTTCATTCTTTTTTTATTGATTCCCTTGTTATTCTTGACCTTTTATTCCTCCAGATAAGTTTTGTTATTATTTTATCTAACTTTATTAAATAATTCTTTGGTAAGTTGATTGGTTTGGCACTGAATAAGTAAATTAATTTAGGTAGAATTTTCATTTTTATTATATTGGCTCAGCCTACCCATGACCAATAGATATTTCTCCAGTTGTTTAGATCTGTCTTTATTCGTGTGAACAGTGTTTTGTAACTGTAATTATTTTGTAATTCATATAGTTCCTGGATTTGTTGTGGCAGGTAGACTCCCAAGTATTTTATATTGTCTATAGTTATTTTAAATGGAATTTCCAAGAGCCTGAGTTTTCTGTTTTGTTTTGTGGTTTTGTGTTTTTTGGGCAATTGGGGTTAAGTGACTTGCCCAGGGTCACACAGCTAGTGTCAAGTGTTTGGTCTGAGGCCAAATTTGAACTCAGGTCCTCCTGACTTCAGGGCTGGTACTCTATCCACTGCATCACCTAGCTGCCCCAAGCCTGAGTTTTCTAATGCCTCACGAAATCAGCCTGGAAATCATCTGGCCTTAGCACAAGTTGGCCTGTGTTCTCTTTTGGAGAAGAGATTAGATGTATTGTGCTTGGGTGGGAGCTACAAAGTGGCCAATTCAGGCTTGATTTTGAGGAAAACTCAGCAGAGAGTGAGTGGTGTGGGTTGCTCCCCTAGTAGGGTAGTGAGCTCTCCAAACTTGGAGGTTTTCTTTTTTGGTTTTCTTTTTTCCCTCAAGACAATCAGAGTTAAGTGACTTACTTGCCCAGGGTCACACAGCTAGTATCATGTGTCTGAGACTGGATTTGAACTCAGGCCCTCCTGACTCCAGGGCTGGTTCTCTATTTACTGCACCACATAGCTGCCCTCCCTTTTTATTTTGTAAGAGTGTGTGTGTGTGTGTGTGTGTGTGTGTGTGTGTGTGTGAATTAGGATTAAGTGACTTTCCCAGAGTCACACAGCAAGTAAGTGTTATGTGTCTGAGGCTGAATTTGAACTCAGGTCCTCCTGACTCCAGGGCTGGTGCTCTATCTACCACTCCACATAGCTGCCCCTCCTTGGAGGTTTCAAGCAGAAGCTGGACTTCTAAGTGTCCAGGATGTGATAGTGGAGCTTCCTTTCCTTTCGGGCTAGACTAGAGGGTCACTGAGGTCAGTCAGTCAATAAGCATTTATTAAGCACCTATAATACAGGTACAATAGAAAAATAAAAGACTGGGGTCATGAAGGATCTCAAACAACTGAATAATAACACATATGTGTGTATCTTTGATTCTGTACATTGTAACCTAAAGAAACCTAACCTTTTCTCCTCCTTTCTAGATCTCCTTGAGTTGATTGACTAGGTGATTCAGAGTTGGGGAGAAGAGAGGGAGAGAGAAGGCTAGGTGGATTCTGGGACCTTTCAGAGGGTTTCACCTATGGTGTCCCCTTTTATTTCTGTTTCCCCAGCATGGGGCGCCCCCTCTAGTATCTTGAGTTTGTAGACATGTGGGAGGCTACCAAAAAAAAAAAACAGATGAAGATACTAATAACAACTGTAGCAGCATTGCTGTGAATAACACTGATATCACACTTTGAAGGTTTGCAAAGCACTTTGCACCGGTGATCTAATTTGATGGGCTCCAGTGGTGCTTACTCTCTTCCCTCTACCCTACTTTTCTTGGATTAAGCCTAGCAAGTATCATCTTGACCATCCCAAGACAGCTCAACCTGAAAGTGAAGGGAACATTTGAAATCTAGACCCTCTTTAAACTGTACCCGTGGAAGGGGTATACAGCAGAGAACTTCCAAGAGCCAAAGGAATTGAAAGGCCAGAGAAGACATGATGAATAAAGATCTAAACATGTTGTTCAGTTATCTTCAGCATTCGGACTCTTCGTGATCCCATTTGGGATTTTCTTGGCAGAGATACTACCAAGGGTAAAATAGCCATAGAAAGGATCCAGTGATCACCTCCTAAAAGATCCCAAAATGAAAACACCAAGGAACATAACAGCCAAATTCCAAAATTACCAGGTCAGAGAGAAAAAAATGCAAGCAGCCAGAAAGAAACAATTTAAATATCATGGAACCACAGTCAGGATTACACAAGACCTTGCAGGTTCTACATTAAAAGATCATAGGGCATGGAATATGATATTCCATAAGACAAAGGAGCTTTGATTACAACCAAGGATCAACTACCCAGAGAAAATGAGCATAATCTTTCAGAGGAGGAGATGGACATTCAATGAAATAGGGGACTTCCAAGCCTTCCTGATAAAAAGACCAGGGCTCAACAGAAAATTTGATCTTCAAATACAAGACTCAAGAGAGACATAAAAAGGCAAACAGGACAGAAAAAACCCCCAACATGTTATTAATTGGGGCAAACTGTTTACATCTCTACAAGGGAAGATGACACTTGTAACTCCTGAGAACTGTGTTGTTATTACACCATTTTAAAGGGGTATGCATAGACAGAGGGAGTAGATATGAGTTGACTTTGATGTAATGATTGAAAAAAATCTAATTAAATGGGTTAAATGGATCTAAATAAGTGAATTAATCAGATCCAATTA